ATCAAGTAGAACAATGAAAAACTCTAGCTTTTATTTATCTGCCAATGTTTTTGAGTATTTGTTGTGCTGTGCCGTTGCATGCGTAGGACATAGAGGTTTGTGATGACAAAGAAGTCTGTTTGAAGAAGTAACTTTTGAGTTTTAATCTTTTATCAAGTTCAGAAAGTTTTTTTTTCCTTGTGTGTCCAGTAAGTGTGTTTTTACCTGGAGAGCTGCATAACAGTGCATACCTGTTGAACTTTCTCCAACCCACTGGAAAAGAAATGATTGTGGTATTATTTGAGACAACATTAGTAAGTGGTGGATAAGCTATTAGCATTTATTATGTAGATTAATGAGAAGAGAGGAAAAAATGTAGATTCTAGTTGCAAGACCTTTTGTCTTGAATGGACTTATCTGGGGGTGGGGGTGGAGGTGCAAGTGCAAGCATTGAGATAGTACTGCACATTACGAAGCGGGTATCATGTACAAACTTCCTCCCTATAGCGAGCTATTATCAAAGCCATAACCTATTTAACATCAGAAGAAGTTTATGAACAGTTTCCACAATTAGGTACCAAATGAACAGTGCAAATAGAGATGATTATTGTCTTTAATTCCTTCTGCACAGATTTGCTGTACATCTGTCTCTTTTCTACCAATTATGTTTGAGTCATGCAGACTTCATGCACCCATAACCCAAGAAGAAAAGGCCACCTTTTATGGTCTGTAGTCTCCAAAATCATTTCCAAGCCCATTGTGAAATTTGTGTAGCAATTGATAAGATCTGATAGAATGACTTAACAGTACCTTGACTGCTTTGTGCAGTCCGCAACAGAGTGTCAGCAAGCAAAGAAAAGATTGAGGTGCCCCACTTTCTCTCTCTCTTTCTTTCCAGTCAAAACTCTTTCTTCTAAAATAGGTTGCCCACCCTTTTTTTTAGAAGAATGGAGGTTCTTCATTAGTTACTTGCATTGAGGAAATGTCATAAGAACACAGACTGCTTGCTTGCTCATTCTCTATTCTGCATTGAGCTCTGTATCTGCTGCAAAATTTAATTCGGAATTAGAAAGGAGACATCAACTGGTGGTTCAGAATTAAAAGGGATATTTCCCCTGAAGGATATCCATCAACTGGTTTACAACCTACACAGAAGGGGAATCTGAAGTTCAAACCTATTGTGCAGGTATCTTGAACAATGAATTCTGGATAAGCCTACAAACGGTTGAACCTTTTGAACCATGAAAAGTAGAAAATAGGCCACGCTCTTCTATAGTTCTATATGAGGGATTGAGGGTTTGCTCTTTTATATCCTTGTCATTAACATTGTGCTTTTGAGTCCTCAAGGTTGCATGTTTCTTGCTGGGGAAATCATTGGTTATACTCTCCTACCCAAAAGATGAGAAATGAAGTTGTGTGTCTTTACTATTTTTATCTTGACGGTGCAGATGACATGCAACCTTAATTCTTACAGTTAGAACCATAAATTTTTTCTCTTGCTTTAACTTCTGTTCTATTGTGAGTTGTCATCATACTTGTAAACATTTCTTGCTCTTAAGTAACAATTGGACTTGATGAAAACCATATGCATCCATTAATGTTATCTTGCCGCATGCTATCTGATGTCCACTGGTGGTGATATTGGATTATTGCTGAAAGGTTGGTGAGGCGCTGACTATGATACTTGAATGCTACTTTAAGATTTTAACCTGAATCTTCTGTGTAATCAAATTGTAAATTGTGTTTAAGCAGTACAACAAAGAGTGAGTGAAATAGATAGTGGCAGTAACACTGTTTGATTGTTGTTTTATGGCTTGCTAAGGAAATATGGGGATGAGGGAGACCATGGATTGTATGCTGACATGGGCTCTATTTTCTTGGCAATGTATTTGAGGGATTTCTCTGCAATGCACTAGTTATACTGTTTTTTATTTGTGTTCGCAAAAATTGGTATACCAATCCTTATTGGTTCCAAGATGGGTTCTGTTTCCATGACAAAGCTTTTGAGGGTTTTGCCTGTAAGTCAGAGTGAAATTTAGTGCTCTCTTTTAAAGAAATTAGAATATAAATCCAAGTTCACTAATGAGCTTTTAACCAATAGTCTCTCTTTCATTTTCTTAATTTCATCGTTCGCCTTCCTGATCTTGTGGGGATCAATTTTTGTTGTCATTAATTGACAACACTTTGGACCTCAGCAGAACGGAAAAGTATTTGGTGATAGCAACTTAAATTTGAAGTAAATTAGCCAAGTGTGGGTATGTGTATACGTGTTTATTGTGCAACACACACACACAACACACCATTGTGTTAAATCTGGTAAGATGCTGATAAGTGAAATCGGAAGTAGTTTTATAGTTGGCATGACGTTTCTGTGTTTTCATTGCTGAATTGGTTTGATTTGAATCAGTAAGATTTCCAGATGACCTTGCATTTCCATATGTAAAGCTTTCCACTCCCTACTAAAACGAAGCAATTTGGGAAGTAACCATCACCTTTAATTTGAGGACAGCAGTCCCAGCTTAATATCATCACTTTCCCCTTAACACTATTTGATGACCCAACTATTTGGCTTCTGTAACCCTATTTCCTTTCTCTTTTTGTTTCCTACCAACACTATTACCTCATTATGAAGTACGTCCTCTATGACTATAGGAGAAGCTGTTCTCGAGTAAAAATAGAACAGAGGCTTCTGTTGGAAAGAAGTTGAAAAATGACATGCTTGCTGAGGTTGAGAGGGTCCACAAGGTAATCTACGATTCATTGTCCCGAGCTCTGAGTTCTGTTTTTTGACTTCATATTATGGGACTGTTCTAAGATTGTGTTTTGTGCAGAGAAAAGAGAAATTGCTGAAGAAACAACATAGACAGGCATTGATGCTTGATAACATGCTAAATATGGATGGTCTTTCTGGTGGACGTTCCTTGCGGGATAGGAAGCCTGTGACCTACACATTTGGTAAGTGCATTTTACTTGGTCCTGCTTTTGTGGTGGTTAAGTATTTGGTGTCTAATTGGACATTGGTTACTATGCAGATGATTATGATCGGTCAATTAATGAGGCTATCAAGATAACCAAGTAAGAATGATTTTCTATTGGCTAGTCTCTCCCTGTCTGTGTCTTTTGTAATATGCTGACATGTTCTTTCCTGTCTCACTTCAGGAATGGTCAACCATCTGCAGAACCTACTTTGAGGAGAGATCCTGCTACAAGGCATGAAACTTCTACAAATGGTAGATTGGGTAGTCCTCCACACTTGTCACAACATGTGTCTTTCAGAGTGCGTTCTCCTAAATCCCCTGAATATGATGAATATGATGAAGACCATCACGATGAACAATTAGATCGAAGGTATTTGCTCCATGTGTTTTGAGATCTCTTTGGGTCTTTCCTTCAATGACTAACTGGTACTCTTCTTACATGTAGCAACCGTAGGAGGCAGAGACCCCAACGCTATTCTGCATCAGAGTTTATTGAAGAATTATCTGAAAATGAGGCAGATTTTGATAGTGATGATGATATAATGGGTGAAGCGGTTTATGATGAAGAATATTTAAGGAAACGGAAACAGCGGAAGATGTCAAGTAGCTCGGAAGGAGATGATGAGTACCATTGGGATGAAGAAAATCCTGAAGATGAAGAAGAGGAATATGAAGATGAAGATTCCCCAAGCGCTAGTGAGGAGAGCGATGAGCCTCGGAGTCGGAGATTTAAGAAACTGCCGGGCCGCACAAGAAGAGAAACCAAGTTGAGGTCAGTGGGCAACCTTCAGTCAGGTTTAAGACGCAGTAACAGGGCAACCAGAAACCGCATCAACTATAGCAATTTAGAGATGTCAGAATCAGAGACCGAGTCAATGAAACCTGAGAAGTCAAATGGATCCGAAGAGCATTATGATGCAAGTGATAATGCAGAGTTCTCAATGGGAAGTGATGACACAGAGGAAAACAATGACAATGAGGAGATGAAAGTTGAGCAACCGGTTGATGATGTGCCTTCTGAGATGGCAACAGTTGATCAAAATGATGTACCAAAGAGAACAAGCAGTCCAGATCAAGAGCAAGATGATGTTGAAAGTGGAGGGAAAAGGCGCTTTCTTGATCTCAATGAGCTTGCCCCGGGTCCTGGATTCGATGATGGTCCTAATTCAGTGATGAAAGATGAAGGTGCAGATGACTTCTGATGTCTTACCCTAAGATCTGTTGCTTGGAGTTTGGTGTTGCAAGCTGATAGTTAACTCTGAATCCACTCCATGATGGAAGCAAAGGAGTTGTGTTTCCCGTGGAAAATTTTGGCAACTGTGATGCAGTTTGTTTATCCAAAGTGGGGCTAATCAGAAGTGAGAAAATTATGTAGATTGAGTAGTCATTTTTTTTGGCATTTCTACATTCACCTATGAGAAATGGTGGGGGAAATTCGATGAGAGTTTTCTTTCTTGTTCGCTGTACAATAACATTATAACTAATATTGTAACAGAAATATCACTTTTAGATGCTTAGAACCATTAATTTAGTTAGATGCTTGGTGTCATTTTCCTCTACACTCCATATGTTGTGCCTGTTTTGGTGATTGTGGTACGAAGTTTGCACGGTAATGTACTAAAAAAGGTTTGTCGGTTTATGCTACAAAGGTAGTTTGATAACCTTTTACACATCTCACAAGTTATGTCAAATACAGCTGTGACTAAAACCGTCTTCCCTTTCTCTGCAATGTGTTTGCAGTTTCCTCTTAGTTTCAGTTTCAGGCTTTGCCCAACTTTTTTAACCGTGTCATCTAATTCCTTATGACCTCTGAATGAAATAATTTATAGTCACACAATTACGTATGCGAGTAGTGTAACATAACTACTGGAGAACATAGCATTGCAAATCAAGCCAGACAGACTAGTATTTGCGTGGAATTAACTTGTTAAACATCCTAATTTACAGCAAAACAAAATTAAAGATCAAGAGAAGTGTTGCTAATTACACAAGTCTTACCATTTACAGAGTGCACTTCTACATCTACATAATTAATACTAATCCTACAAACCAAGTTCAAACCCAAGTGCCTCTAAGAAGAGCGCGAATTGGAGCAGTTTCACCAAAAGTCCTCACTAAATCCGAACAAGACGGATCATGTTCTGCTTCAGTTTCCGTCTTCAATTCCAACCCCAATTCCTCTTCTATATCATCAGAAGCAGATATCAGCAGAAATTCACACCCTTCATAGTTCAAAAAATCCGGTGGGTCTGCCGGATGGTACCTCAGCTGCCCAAATTCACCTTGCAAGTGAGCTGGAAATGTAGCCTTCCTCTTTTTCTGAAGCCCCCTAAACTGCGATCCACTTCCACGTTGCTCCGGGTTCTTAATCTGAATCAGAAATGACCCTTCTCTTTTTATGTTCAATTCCTCCTGAGGTTCATTTTTCTCATCCTCTGCTGGAAATTCAAGCTTGTAAACCAAATGGGTATGCATTTTCTTCTTCGGATTATGCCTCAAAATTCGATAAATTCCTTCTCCTACAGCTCTAGCTGGAGCAACTACACGGTGCCCTCTAGTTGCCGTGTCGTATTCTTGCCCTTTGAGAGCTGCTTTTACATCGTCGATTTTCGTAGTCACCATTTCCACAAAACCCCAATATGGACGATGCCCTGTTTTCTTGCTAGGATCCGGGAGACTTTTCCGACCCATTACAATAAACCGGAGCAAAGGCTCCTTCTCAATATTAACTTCTTCTGTCCCATATCCTCCCTCACCGCCAGAATGTTCCTTATCGGAAGAAATATCACGGTTGGGTTCCATGTGAGAACCAAGTTCTTCACCTTCCTTGCCGGAATGAGGGTCTTGTTTAACTTCAACAGAATGCTCCCCGGACTCTGGACGGAGAACTATGTATAAACGTTGGACATCGTCGAAGCCATGTGCTGCTTGTTTGCCGACTTTTGGTCGATAAAAGAAGAATATTTCCCCTCTTTCCTACAGGCATTAATTACAGAAAAATTAATAAACTACATAAGAACAAAAGTAAAAAAAGGGTGACAAGTACCTGAACTTGAACGTTGGATTCATTTTTAGTCTTCGAATCTTCGCCTTGTCCCATGGCAGAAATTTGGTCTTGGGAAGCTGCAACTAGTGAGTGAGAAGTGAGATTTTTTTAAGATAAAATTGATAACTTTAATTACTGAAGGTGGAAACGGTTAAGTAAAGGCACGTATGTTGATGCTAATGAGACGTGTTGATCGTTTAGCGCATACTACTCTCCATGTTTCAACGTTGTCTTTAACAACCTAACTGCAGCTAAAGGCATTTCGGAACACATTACCTGGACATGTTATTAACTTGTCCAAACTTAAACGGATTGATTTTACAACCATGTAGCTGACTTTTTCTGATTTTGACTAAATTTTAGTGAATAGAAAGATAGTAGTTTAGTACGTATTCAAAATTCATGACATGCTTGTAAGTTCATTTTCAAATTGGAGAAAGAAAGCCTATTATAAGGAGAGCCGTCAATATGGGCTAGGTTCGTTGGGCCGGCCTAATCTAATCCGTGATTTGATAGGGCTGGGCTATGATTTTTGGAGACCATTTAAGAAAAAGGTTTTTTAGCCCGACTTGAATAAGCGTGCCGATTTGTGGGGTTTGAGAAATATAGATAAGACCAAATAAAAATTAATTAAAAATAAAAATAAAATAGAGTATTAAAAATTCCAAGAGTCTAAACTCAAAAGCTGTTTAAAGTTTGAAATATTACAATTTAAATATAAATTATGTTTATAAAATATGTGCTACATAAAATAAAAATTTCCTAAAATTCTAGGAATTACTACATAGATGGCCTATGAAATATTGTCATAATTTTTGTGTTTTATTATGATCATTGGAAAACAATTAGATAAATATTTTTATTTAGATATTTATGTTTTTACTTGAAATCAAACTTAATAAATATTATAAAGATAATTTTATTTGTGGATTTGATTAACAAGTAGTAACACTAATACCATGTAATATTATCTTGTCAATATTTATGATAATATTTTTAAATTATAATTTAATTTAAAAAATTATAAAAAATATAGGGTAAATTACATAAATCTCATAGTTTTAATATGAAATTACAATCTATCCCTAATAAATTTCTAATTACTTTAATCCCTTAAAAATTAAAAAAATTGGATACAATAATTGAAGCTCGGATACATTAAAAAACTATCTCGAATACATTAAATACTGGCTCAGATACATTAAATACTGGTACATTAAAGAAATAAGGGATTTTGAAGATTTTTAAAAGTAATAGGGGATAATGGAAATAAGTGAAACAAAATATGTGTGTTTCTATAATTTGTCTAAAAATATATTTTTAAGAAAAGAGGGTTGGCCCGGCAAGCCTATAGCCCATATATGTATGGGCTGGGCCAACCATTTTTTGCTCACACCAAAAATGGACTAGCCCGATCTGACCCATCAAATTTCAAAGTCTGTATGGGTTAGACCGAATGGAGTGGGCTAGCCCATATTGACACCTCTAATTATAAGATGGAAGACAGGGAAAAGTAACATTTGATGCCAAAGTAGAAGAAAGACAAAACACGTTCAGCCCCCACAAAGAGTATGGTAGTCCCCATATTCCAATTCAATCGCAGTCCATCAATAATATACACTGCTACAAGTTTTAATTGGTGAAAACTTTTATTCTCCTTTGAAATGGAATGAATAGTCAATAGCCATTGACCTCAAAACGTCTATGTTTTGTCACTTCAATTAATCCTTTTCATGTTTCAAAATGAACCATGGTCACCACATAGCATGCAGAACCTACCCCACATTCCCACAACAACCGCCTGTGTTTTTGGTACATTGAATAGGTCAACTACATACCTCAAAGACAAACCAAAAGTTATGGAAAATGAATTTTCTAGCTAAGAGGAGATAGCAAAACTTGCATGAATCTCAAGCTCTGATTCTATGCTATGTAGGATAGATATAAAAGTATGGATTTTGTTCTCTCTGCACATGTATTTCCCTACTTCTATACATCCAGAGATGAGCTTGAAAATGTATTCAAAAAATTGAAAGAAAAACGAGAGACGGTAGAGATAACAATGAAAGAATTTTGTAAGGGCCCCTAAGTAGCCCCGTATCATATCTAAAACTGAGGATTCCAGAAAGTTTACAGATGGTGGTACTATAGCTGCAAGACTTGTCTACATCTTTCTCTGCTCAACTCTCAGTTACTTTTCTCTGAATCTCTAATTGTGTTCATCTCATGTTGCAGCAAAGGGGTCGCCCTTGCTGTTGTAGTTTGTTCCACATGCAAATCATCTGCCTAGGTGACTGATAATGAGCTGAATAATAATCTTCTACACAACCAGATTGGGAGAACTTCAAGCTGTGTACATATTGCACAGGTCTTGAGCTGTTGAATTTCTCAACCCACATTCCCATGCTTACATCCTCCATCTTGAACAACTGCGAGTCAGGAGAGCTTTGTTAGATATTTCATTGAACTGTGACACAGATGGAAGGGGAGCGGGATTTGTGCCTACCTTTAAGTTATAGCTATCATACTCTGAGACAATGAAGTTAGCGATGTCTGATGAAACTATGTAGCCAGGTCCATTTGCATAAGCTGGATAATCTTCTTCGGGCCATTCCTGAGAAAAAAAGAGAGAATGGGAGACGAAATGAGATACTCAGATTTCGTAGGATTCAACAAGGCCACAGAAATTAAACCTAAGAGCGTTATTGAGACAAATTAATGGGGAAGGAAGCAACCAGACAACTATTTTGGCTAGTGCATTTGTCGTGAAACTGGTGCATCCTTTATCTATATACCCTCCATTTAATCTCTTGAGAACACTCACCTATCTAAAGCATTTTGATTACTCACTATCATGTGGTAATTTTATAAATTAAAATCATTAAACAATGAGGCATACGAAACTATGCACTTCTATATAACAGAATTAGGAGTCAAGACTAAATCTATACAACAGAGTAGGATCTTTTAAATATGAGGCAAAGATTTTGAGGAAGAGACGCACAAGAAGATCCAAGCTCTTACCTCATATGTTACTGCCCATTTACCACTACGCAGGGGTTTATGGTGGTAATTGATATTTCCAATATATAAGCTCCTATTTTCTGGCACTTTCTTTACTTCCTTGATAACTGCATCTACTCTCACAAAGGTATCATCGTCGCACTTCATGATATTTTTGGCAAATGCTACACGGACCTGCAAAAAACCAAACGTATAAATGAGGTGAACTTTCTGGGGACAAAATTAATGTCAACGTTCAGGGGCAATCCAGAAACGTACCCCATATTCACAGATGGCAACTGTTTTCAGAACCACGAGGTCATAGTGATCCATATAAGGAACAATGACGATGTCACCAAAAAAATCAGCTTCTTTCTTTAGCTCCACATTAACTTCCTTTCTTGCATGCTGTCAAAAATCCATCTCAAGATTAAGTAATTATTTTAACAGCACCAACACCAATATTAATAGAAATAAATATTTCCAATAGGTTCCATATGCTACCATTATGTCAACTTACCAATGCAACAAAGAATCGAGCCACAACATTTGAAGATCTGATTAGCTGATGCTGCATCCAAGACTTCCTTATAGCCATCCGCTCAGCAAAATGATTGCCAGCAGAAAGAATACCAATGAACATATCTACGGGCTGATCAAGGAGAGGCGGTGCCTTCCATCTGTTTGACATATCAAGATGTCTTTGAGGTGCAAAATTGGGATGTGTTGCTGGCAAGGAGGCAGCAAACACCGAATCAACATCAATGTCACCGTTCAATGACAAACCAGTAGCATCCTCAAGGGCAAATCCCTGACAGCACAAAGAAAGAACCTTAAAAATAGTCCACAATTAAATACTCCAATATGAACTTGAACTAAGTAGTATGTTACTCACAGTTCGATATGGAAATGAGGTCACATGCCTCCCATCAACATTTATATGATAACCCTCAAAGCCAGCACTAAGCGTTAGCACAAATAACTTCTCCTCTGAAAATGGGAATGGCCAATCAATAGACATCTTCTTTGTTCGCCCAGCAATAAGCCGGTTTAACCACCACGATGACTTTGATTGCTCAGAATGAGTGTCGTTGTTATCTCGAATCCAGTTCTCACACTTAACCTGTCTATCAACTGCAAAAGATAACCTATGTTACCTATACATTGAGCTACTTCACCAATACAACAGACAGTGCAACTCACAATGCATTCTCAGTTAATTTTTTTCCTTCAATACTTTAAAATCAATAGTCAAACTGTCAACAGATAGATGCATAACCATAACCTCCTATCCACCACCCCATACTTCACCCAAAGTACAGATTTTTAGCTTAAATTACTACATCAATGAACAAAATTTAAAGTTCAATTACTCAATAAAACATAGGGAGCAGTTAAGAGTTAAAGCAATAAACCGAATTCATTGTCTCACCAGTTTCCTCCGTATCCTTGGACCTCAAGCCGTCACATCTTTGAGCCGTCCCCCACTGCATCCTATAACAAGTGTTTTGTTCAATCACAGGCTTTCCACTCCAATCACCCCTCAATCTCGGATTGAGATGGAGAATCCTTGGTGGGTCCTCTCCATCAACCGTCTTCAGTCCCTGTAACTCCATCATAAACTGTGAAACCATCAAGAATTGACCAGTTTTCAGCAAAGATATCTTCGGGTCCTGCTCCGGATGGGCCTTCTTTGGTTTCCCAACAACTGTAATATGGGACCCTAGAGTAAGCCCGCATGGCAACACCATCATTCTCCCTTTGTCCTGAAACTCCAACCCGGAAATCGAAATCGAATGTGGGCATTCCTCTGTCTTGTTATTATAATCTACAGGAATCGCTTCTTGTCGGTGCAATTCAAGCTCTTCCCAGAACTTTTTACCTACATCAAATGCCTCTTTTGCAGACTTCAAAATCCCCGAAAACCCATCAGTGCTATTCATATTCACGGAGCTTCCATTAAAAGCTAAATTCGACAACAAAGTGTGCAATTCTCTGATTCTTCTTCTCTCCGGCCTGGATTGATCCAGAACCCTAACTGGCGCATCAACAGGACGATTTGGGGCCTTCCTTTCTTCCACATACTCTTCACTCTCAAG